ACCACCTGGTTCATAGGTCAACGCTCAACCATTGAGCCACGGTGGCCGGGCTGGATGTTTCATTTTCTAACGCCCATGTCACTGCAAGCTCCTTTTACATTTCAAATAATGCATTCAGGTTGTTGACATGTTTTGCTGGTGACAGTTGGGGTTTGTGGTGACCCCTGGACATTTTAAAAATTAAGATTACCCCACACTAGAGCCATTTAGTTTTAAGAATCTTCAATTACTTCAGTTAGTCATTGGTTTTCTAGGAAAAAATGAGCCCAAGCCTTCAGCCTATAAAAACCAGTAATGCCTGTGACTTTGTTTTCTATGTTTTGTTTTGTTTTCGGGGTGGGGGAGGGGTTGGTATTTTATCATAAATCTAATTATTTCAATAGTAATGAGAAGATTGACTGATGAGTAAGGTATTGCCTTTCATAGTTCCTGTTGTAAATACATGCCCAGGCAGAACATTTCAGAGTGGTTTTAACTCCCCAAAGCTGTATACCTAGAGGCTAACGTGAGTCAGAAGACTTTAAATACTTTTTAACAAGTGCAGCTAAAATTTCAAATCTTGCTGGAGATTAGCACTCGCAGGGATGAAGTCTTGTTTCAGGAAGTATTCTGATAGATTTGACAGAAAACGGAGTCACTGTGTTGTCACTCCAACTCCTTTATGTCGGAGGTGAGAGGGTGGATGTGAAATTTGCCCAGGTAAGGCCCCGCCCTGACCATCATCTCCAGGCTTCAGTGCTTCCTTTGTAAAAGGAAAGGAATTGGTTTATAAAAGGAAATAAATTGGTTTCTAAGGTTCATTCTAGGTCAGAAGTGCTGTTCATGACAAATAAAATTCTATCTTGAAAGAGAAGGGTTAATTAATAAGTAATGATCTAGCAAATTCTGAAAGAAATGTATTTAGATTAAATGTTTAGTTTCACTTTTTGTTGCATTATGCAGATGTCCTAAATAATGCATATTATATTTATGCACTCTACGTAGAAATTCTTAGCACAAATTATTTTAGCTCTTTACAATTAGATCCTCTTCACTGAGACCTAAGTTGGCTGTACCATTTTTTAAACTAAAATTTGCAAAACTATAGCACTATGGCATCTCAGCCAATGTGACTTACTGAAGAGCATGCTGGTCTGGGAGGCTCCCCCTCTCCCTTGCGCCGACTCCAGGCGCAGAATGTCCTGTCTCAACAAGATCTCCAGCTAGTCTACCAAGGACTGGTTAGTGGTGCATGACTGAATAATTGAGTAATGATTTCTCATAGAGAAGTATTTGGAAAGGGTTACCTTGCACAGATGTTTCTGTTTTATATCATGATTTAAATGAGATCACTTGCCTCAGTGGAGACATCTGTACACCTCTCCATTTAAGGGAGAAATGTGCTTGCACCAAGGATCTGCCCGCCACCCCTTCTCCTTTCAGATGCTTTTAGCATCCTCTCCCTTGTCTCCCAGCCTCCATGTGCTGGAGACACATAAGTCCAATACCTTTCTCATTCTAAGATTTTCTATTTGAGCCCATAAAAGCCAATAATGGCTATGGTATGGGGAGAAACTCTATCCCAGCAGGTTCGAAAGGAGCATTTTTATTAGGTTGGTAACTTTAGTTGCTTAGACTTTTTTTTAGCAAATGGCTAGTAGATAAAATCAGGTATATATATATATTTTTTTATAAATTATTATTTTTAAAAATATATATTTTATTGATTTTTTAGAGAGGAAGGGAGAGGGATAGAGTCAGAAACATCAATGAGAAACATTGATCAGCTGCCTCCTGCACAGCCCCTGTTGGGGATATGCCCACAACCAAGATACATGCCTTGACTGGGATCGAACCTGGGACCCTTCAGTCCGCAGGCTGACGCTCTATCCAGAGCCAAACTGGTTAGGGCAAATCAGGTATATTTTAAAAATATTTTGCTGTATGTTAACTCAATTTTTTTCTGATATTATTTCAACACTAGAGGCCTGGTGCACGAAATTTGTGCATGGGGAGAGGGAGGGTATCCCTCAGCCCAGTCTGCACCCTCTCCAATCTGGGATCCCTCTCACAATCCAGGACTGCTGGCTCCCAATCGCTCGCCTGCCTGCCTGCCTTATTGTCCCTAACCACTCCCCTGCCAGCCTGATCAATGCCTAATTGCTCCCCTGCTGGCCTGGTCACCAGCTGCCCTCCCCTACAGGCCTGGTCCCCTCAGCTAACCTCCCCTGCTAACCTGGTCGCCCCTAACTGTCCTCCCCTGCTGGACCAGTCGCCCCCAACTGCCCTCTCCTGCAGGCCTGGAAGCCCCCAACTGCCCTCCCCTGCTGGCCATCTTGTGACATGGGTGTGGACATCTTTGTGTTGGAGTGATGGCCGATTTTCATATTACCTCTTTATTAGATAGGATAGCAATCCATGTCAGAAGTCATGAAGCCCTTGATGGTTTGTTCTGGGGTGTTAGTGTAGCTCTGAGTTTGCAAACTAGGGTGTGTGTCAGAGAACAGCCAGGGGGCTGGAGGAGACATGGCTGAATGGAGCCAGGGAAGCCGAGAAAGCAGTTTCTAGGGAAAGCTGACCTGTGAACTCACAAGAGCACGCAGTGAGCCTGATGCTGTTTCCCCACTTTGCTGTTGGGTGAAGGGAAGGCATTTCAGAGGAGTCTGGGAGTAGGCTGCACACAGCCCACTGCTAGTCAAGACACCTGCTTCATCCAGGGTGCAGTGCCATCCTCAGCGTGAACAGGCAGCAAGGCGGCTCTGCATGCCTACTTAATATATAGTCCAACCCCATCACGGGCCACAGAAAGGCCCGGTCATGTCTGAGGTGCTCCTGATCAGCCAGGGAGGCAGTCATGGAGACGCCTGCCCAGTCCCAGGAGGAAGGGCCAGATTGTTTTGAACAGAATCACAGAAGCCAGATTGAACCATAAAAGTTATATACCTGTTCTGTTATTAAAATGCTTAAGAAATGACATTTGCAAACCAGTGTTCCTAAAAGTGTTTCAGGGCCTGGTTTAAATACCCACTCAGTGGTAATGAGCAGCATCTATGTCTTTCCGATCAGTGTGCTGCTCAGACAGCAAGCTGCTCAGGTAGGTTACATGTGACCTTGCACTGCCGTTCTTGGTAGACACTGGCCCAGCAAGCCTTTTTCTTTTTAAGCAAACAGCACGAGGACACCAGCACTCTCCACTGAGCCCAGAGCACTGGCTCCCTGCCTCGGAGACTCAGAGCCGAAAGTCTGTAGGCTGCATATCCATGCCCCCCCCCCCCCAGGGGATGCTTCAGTCCACCCAGGCCATGCCCAGGCAGCGGCGAGTCCCCACCTGGCCCAGCCATCACGGCTGTGTGTGGAGGGCAATGTGGCCGCACTAATGAGAGGAGGAAGGGGTAGATGCCAAGTAGATCAACAGTGACCCCAACTCTGGGCAGCGTTGTCAGGCCATGGGGCTTCAAGATCCCAGCAGGAGCATTAGGAAGGCAGTGCCTGGCCACCCACACCCCCACGGCTGGGACTCTGCATGGATAGCCTGTTTCCTTGGCCCCTCAAAGCATCACTCCTGGGCCCTTTCAACCACAGCCTGTGGCTGCCGGGCCCTCCACGACCTCCCCTGGGGGAGACAGTTTTCTCTCCTGTGTTGTACTTTCTCATCTTCCAGTGCTTTCCTAGGCAAGAAGGTTGCTTGCCTCGGTGACATCTATACACCTCTCTGTTGTTAAGGAGAAATGTGCTTGCAACAAGAATCTGGCCGCCATCCCCTCTCCTTTCCGACATTTTTAGAATTCGTTACCTTGTCTCCCAGCCTCCATGTGCTGGAGATGCAGAAGTCTGATGCCTTTCTCATTCTGAGATTGTCTATTTGAGCCAGGTTTCCCCACCCCTGGAAGCTTTAGTTGGATCTTCTTGTCCCAAGTGATGTCCACCATGTTCCCTGTGTGGCTCCTCTCAATCTGCAAAATCATGTCTTTCAGTCTGGAACAGTACCTTGAATTATTTCCTTCTGTTTTCTTTTTCCTTTCTGGAGCTATTACTGGTCAGATATTAGAATCCAAGAAGTTTTTAGAATTGCAAGCACAAGAAACATGAAGAAAAATACATCATGGTGCATCATGCTGTCTAAAACAATATTGAAAATGAACAAAGATGGAGGACACACACTTCCTGATTTCAAAACATACTAAAAAGCTACAATAATGAAAACAGTGTGGCTCCGGCATATGGATAAATGTATAGACCAATGAAATAGGATTGAGAGTCCATAAGTAAACCCATACATCTATGGCCAATTGATTTTCAGCAAGAGTGCTGAGACCAGTCAATGGGGAAAGAATGTCTCTTCAACAAATGGATATCAACATAAAGGGATGACGTTGGACAACTACCTCACACCATGTATAAAAATTAATACATAATGAGCCGACTGTGAGTTAAAAGTATAAAACGCTTAGAACTCCTACAACTGAATAAAAGACGATTTAAAAATGGGCAAAGAACTTGACTTGGCATTTCTCTCCAAAGAAGATATACAAATGAAAGGAAGCCCAATATCATTGGTCATTAGGGAAAGGCAAATCAAGACCATGAAATGCCATGTCACATCCACTACCAGAGCAATAAAAAGAAAAGGAAATTAAGTATTGGCAAGGACAAGGAGAAACTGGAGCCCCATGTATTGTGGTGGAATATAAAATGGTACAACTACTATGGGATACAGTCAGGCAGGTCTTTAACCATAGAATTAATGACACTTCCCAGCATCCCCAGTCCTGGGTATCCACCCAAAATTATTGAAAATAGTTATTCAAACCAATGCTCATACATGAATGTTTATAGCAGCACAATTCACAATAGCCAGAGAGAATAACCTAAGTGTCCATCGATGATAAACAGGTAAACAAAATGTGGTATATCCACACAATGAAATATTCAGCCATAAAAAGGGATAAAGTACTGATACCTACTACAAAATGAACCGTGAAAATGTGTTAAGTGAAATAAGCCAGACACAAAAGGCCAGATTGTATGATCCCATTTATCTGAAATATCCCAATAGGTAAATCACAGAGACATACTAGTAAAGCAGATTAGTGCTGCCAGGAGGGAAGGGGGAGAGGGGAATGACTGCTTCTGGGGGTGATAAAAATGCTTTGAACTTGGCAGAGATGGATGTAATAAATGCCACTGAATTGTACATTTAAAATTTGTTCATTTTAGGTATGTGAATTTCACCTCAATTAAAAACCAAAATACTCAAGCCACTCTAACCAGCCCATCCCTGCGCAGAGGGTGCTGCTGTGTGAGGGTCACTGAATGACCCTTACTTCCTGAGCCCCTTCTGCTGCTCCCCATCTGGATTCTTCTCCAGAAAAGGCACTTCCTTCTGCTTCCAGTCCATTTGCCCCCATCGTGCATGGGTTCATCCACCGGGCTGAGTTCCCTTTTAATAAGGTTTCCTTGTTGAAACATTTTTAAAGAGAAAGTTAAAAAGAAAAGCACATTTTAATAAACCATAGATTCATCCAAGTGTCAGGTGTTAAGGGAAACATTTCTGCTGGCCTTGGGCTAAGTACCCTAAACCTGCTCATTGCTGCCCATAGCAACAGGGCAGTGCCCAGCCCTGGGCAGTTACAAGGCACACAGGCTTGTTTAGTGTTTGTGGGAGCAAAAGAGCAGGCGGCATGTGCGGGGTCAGAGCTGGACTACTCTGGATTCCAAGGCATTTGCTGACTTTGTCTTCTGGTCCCGCTCCCGGGCAGCCACAAAGTTCAGCAGGTCAATGGCGGTGACGACCCCGAACACCATCTGCCTCTTGCTGGACTTCCCGGGGCTGTGGTCTGAGGAGGGAATCAAGGCAGTAGGTTAAAGGCACCTCCGCAGGGAGCTGCACCTACGCCCAGACACGGTCAGAGGCTGAACCAGAGTGTGGCCCTGGGGGACCAGCCCTGAGCCTGCCCCAGTGCCTACAGGCACCTGTGTATTGTGGGAACCCAGGCAGCACCCACAGAAGCCCACCAACAGATGCCTTCTGCTAACAGGAGCCATCTGGGCGAAGCTGCAGAGAGCAAGGTGCTAACCTCGCCAAGCCATGCCCACTGGCCACACCTGTGGTCTGTCTGGATGCCCAACGCTCAAGTCTTGGCATGAGATTCCAACACCAAGCACACCCACAAGCTACATCAGCACACATCTATGGCCTGTGATTATCTTCAAACCCATGCTTTTCTCTGGGGCTTAGAACGAATGCTGGCCCTGGCCCTGGCCCCCCAAAGAGCAGTGAGGATTGTTGAGGTAGTTCGACTTGACTGGCCTGTGGAATGCCCAGATTTGGTCAAACACTATTCTGTGTGTTTCTAGATGAGATGAGATCATCAGTTGGATCGGTAGACCGAGTAAAGCAGATTGCCCTCCCTGGTGTGAGTGGTGGACCTCATCTAGTTGAAGACCTGAATAGGAAAAAAAAAGGCTCCCCATGTAAGAGGGGACTTCTCCAGCCTTTGGACTTGAACTGAAACATTGGCTCCTTCTGGGTTTTGAGTCTGCCCACTCCCCCTGCAGATCCTGGGACTTGCCAAACTAGTCATGTGAGCCAGTCCTAGTAAAGTATAAATCTCTATACACACATCCCACTGGTTCTGTTTCTCTGGAGACCCTGGACTGGTCATCATGAAGCACAGAAAGCCAGGTGGAGCTGAGGGGTGGGAGGGAAATGCCCAGGTCACATTACTATCCCGCCAGACCCCATCCCAGCAACTTCCCGGCCACCTGTCCCTAGGGTGGGGGTGCGGCGAAACAGAGGAGCCAGGCACCCTGCTGGCCTATTCGGAGCACCTCAGAAAAAACACGGGGAGCAAAGAGGAGACCAGCTCCACACATTTCAGGGACTTCGAGGCAAAGTGGCACTTTGGAGAAGCGTGTCCCCTGCAGGGGAGGGTGGTCTGTGCAGCCTCTGCAACCTGGCCCTCCAGAACCCCGGAGACTCATGCACAGTGGAGTTGGCCACCTTTGTAAAGGTCAGAGTCTCTTATGACCCCGCAGTTCTGCCAACAGCACGAAGGCAGCAGTGGACACGGTATCAAGTGTACTGACCCTGAAATTGGGACTCATTCTGGGGGGTGATCATATATGAGTAAATGTGAGGTAAGGAAGAACCTCCCACCCAAGCTCTGGGGTCTGGGAACCCGGATGCCCTCTTTACCCTCGGAGCCGCAGAGCCATTTCCGAAAGGGAGACAGCGGGCGTACATACCTGCAGGCCCCCCCACCACTCCTGCCAAGGCCTGGTCCCGTGCTGTGGAGCCAAGGACGGGAGAGGGGTTAGGCTTGGCCACTCAGGCCCCGAGACGGCCCTCAGCTGGGTGGGGGGCGGGCTCCAGGGCACTCCCAATTCTGATTACGACCCTCACCCTTGTGGGCACCCAGGCCTGGCCCACAGAGGGGTTCCTCTGAGAACCGTGCCCAAGGCTGAGGATGGCTGAGTCACTGCCACTGACTCCAAAAGCCTGTGAGGCTCCAGCGCCCCGCTGCCCCACAGGCACTCGGCTGCAAAGCACAGGTGGCAGCCTGGACCGGGCCTCAGGGGCCAGGGCCCTCAGGGCTCCCCCAGCCCTGCCCCCAGCCCCACTTACACTGGATCTGCTCATGGACCACCAGGGCGAAGTGGTCTATCTCCAGGATGCGCGAGAGCATGCCCAGCGGGTCAGTCAGGCGGATCTGGAAGAGAGGCCGCGGTCAGTGCTCACCAGGCAGCCCAGCCAGGCCCTCGGCAGAGAGGAGCACAATGGAACCTGAACTGTTTGGACAGCACGTTCTCCTGGGGTCTCTCCTTGTTATGGGGGCGGGGGGGGGGGTTGCTGCAGGAGCCACAGGACAGGCGACGGCACTGGGGATGAAATGGCACAAATATACGGATTCCGGTGACATGTCAGCTGTGTGTGGGGAGGAGGGGGGAGTGGAGAGGGGAGAGGAAGGTCAAGTTATCTCCTAGGTCCTAGGTTTGGGCACTTTTAGTCCCACTCACTGGGAGGTTGGAGAAGGCAGGTGTGAAACGGGGACCAGGGAGAGGGGACGCCCCGATGGCACTGCCCTCAGGGACACAGAGAGCAGGGCCCAGTCGGCTCTGCCCAAGCCTGTCAGAGGGTGGCAACATTGTCTCAGAAGCGGAGGCTTCTCCCAGAACATTCTATTTATTAAATCACTGTGTGTGCCAGGTGTTCTTAAACGAATGCTTCACGGGGAAATGAGGGCCCAATGTTAGGAAACCGACCCCCAGGCGTGGCCAAAATACAGCGGGCGTGGGAGAGCCCTCACGGATGGGCCTTTCCCCACCGGCTTCCCTGCAAAGCTGGGCGAATTCTCAGGTGTACAGGTTCGAGAGCGGCAGCCAGCACTGGCCCAGCTGGCACAGGAGCGGTGCAGAGGGTCGGGGACCTGGCCCCCTTGCCCAGGAAGCGCTGTGCCCCGCCTCCAAGGTCAGAAGCGGGTCTTGGCACCCACGGCCCCAGTGGATGGGAGCTCATACCTGCTTGAACTGCTTGTAGATGACTTTGTGAACTTGGTCTGACGGCTGCACCTTCCCAGCGAGCAGGCATGACAGCATGTTCCCCAGAGTCACCATCCCCAGGATCACTCTGGGGGTGAGGGGTGGGGGAGGGTCAGTGCAGGGCCCTCCCTGAGACCGCAGGACCCGCCCACAGCCGTCCTCCCTCGGCGCCAGAATGCAGAATTCCTCTCAGAATTCAGCAGACACCTGCCGAGTGCCCACAGGTGGCAGGAGGACAGTGATCAGATGCCCTGCCCTGGACCTGCCCATCCAGTGGCAGACAATAAGCCAATGAGTCCTTTGGGCATTTCCATCTGACAAGTGTCAGTCAGGGGGCTATGAGACGTCTCCTCCCTGGCCCAGTGCAGTGGGTGGGACACGGGTTAACACGGCCACCCCCCGCCCAGCCAGTGCTCGGGAACATGTCCAGTGGGCGGCCCGGCGCTCTGGACATCCCTGAGGGACTGAGGTCAGACAGCCAGACTGCCCTGTCCTGGGGTGTGGCTGAGACTGACCCCGATTCATCGACCACGGGCACCTGGTCGAAGCCCTTCTCCCGGAGGATCTCGATGGTGTGCTTGCAGGTGACCGTGGGCAGCACTGTCAGCGGAGTGGACAGGCTCAGCTCCTGGACTTTGAGGTGCCACCACCTGAGGGAAGAGGGCAGGGCAGGGAGGGCTGAGAGCCGGCAGGTGGGCGTCAAGGGCAACATCACACAGGGAGACCGTGGGGATGACCAGCCAGGTGTGGGACAGAGCACAGGCACCAGGTCCCGGGACCTGCGCTCTGCAGCCACTGTGGCTCTGGGTGTGGCCCTGCTCAGAGATGTCCTCACCAGGGCTTCTTCACGGGGAGGTCCTCCTCCTTCAGGAAGCCCTTCTGCAGCATCCACCTGTCGCTCAGGAACTTGGACCTGGAGACGTCAGGAGGTCAGCAGGGCCTGGCCGAGGGTCTCACCACCGTCTCTGCCCACACCAAGGGGCATAGTCCCCACAGAAAGCCCAGGACCCTCCCCGACCCCATCAGTCCAGGAGAGACCCCATGGCTGGCTGGAGCTCCAGGAAGAGGCCTGGGAACCAGACTGTAGAGTGCCCATGGGAACTTCATGTCCAGGGGCATCTGGTCTACCAGGGAGGAGGCGCTCAGAGCACAGACGGTTCTGTCCTGGAACCTTTTCTGTCAACCCCGTCGTACTCCCTGGGCGCCTCCTCCCTAACCCTCCTCAACACGCGCTCGGGAGCCGTGGGTGGAGGCCTGGCTGGGGAGAGGGGGGTGCAGAGCTTGCAGGGCCCCTGGCCCCACCCTGAATCCCGGCTGTCAGATCTCAGGGGAGTTCCAGTGGCGTAACCACAGCATCCCCTTGGCGGAGCCAGGGAGGGACAGGCCTGCAGGTGGGAGGCGGGAGGAGGGAGGAGGGAGGAGGGAGGAGGCTTCTTACATGTAGTTGCGGACAGAGTCGGGCAGAATCACCACGCAGCGCTGGCCCTCCCGCAGCTCCTGGGCCGCCTTCACGGCCACCGACATGGCGCTGCCGGAGCTGCCACCTGCCGAGAGGGCCGGAGTCAGACCCAGGCCGGCAGGAGCCTGGTCCCATCTCCTCGCCATGAAGCCCTGGAGATGGACACCCTCCAGCCTCTCCCAGCACCCGCCCCCGCTTTGGACCCCCATTGATGGGGAGCCTCCCCAAAGGACAATGCTGGTCTTGATTGAAAAAGCCAGGTGTCCTGAGATCGCTGGCCCCAAAACAAATACACCAATCACAGTGCTGCCAGGCCTCCTCTCGGCAGCCACCCCCGCCCCCGCTGGTGACTGCGGGAGCGAAGCCAACAGCTGCTTCCTCTTTCCGTCAGGCTCTCGGGCTCCCCAGGCCCTTTCCAGGACCCCGTGCCACGCCCCGCGCTCTGGTGGTTAAACACAGGAAACAAAGCATGTGGCTGCAGGGACCCCAGGACCCCAGGCCTCTGGCCACACGGGGAAGGGGCACTCCTACCCGCCCGTGGAGTGACCGCCGATGAGGACAGGCCAGCTGACCTCCTCGGGGTTGGAGTGGACGGACGGTACCCGGAAGCCGCCATGCAGCCCCAGAATGAGGGTGTCCTTTACACATCTGGACTGGAAGCTGGCAGAAGGCAAGCGCCCCCGTGTCCTCTGCACCCCGGCCGCCCAGCGCCTGCCCACCACTCACCGCACAGCAGTCCCTCCTGCGCAATCAGCATGCGGGCAAAGGCAAAGGACTCCTCATCGTTGCACTTGAACCACTTGTCCACCACCTGCGGGCAGGACCAGACTGCCGGCTCCGGGAGGCGCTCGGGCAGGTGTGCGGTTGGGGTGGGGGCCCCACAGCCGTGTTCACAACCTCTCGGATGCCCTCGGTCCAGGAAGATGTGACCCTTAACGGGCACAGCCCGGCACCTGCTCCGGGGTCTGAGACTCATGTCTACAAACCTGGAACTTTCTACCTCTCCCTGGTTCAACACATTGTGCTCGTGGCTATTAAACTGCCCGCCGGCTCCCGCGGCACAGCCGTATGTCCTGTGGCTGGACTCTGTCCCTCAAAACGAAGCCCCTTGTGGGTCCGTAGGAGTCCGTTCTGGGGTCCTTACCTCTCCGTTTCCCCTGCTCAACCGCCAGAGCTCCCGCCTCTGCAGGGGCCTGATCTGTGCCCACGGCCAGAGCTAAACTGCTGGGAGTCTTTGCCCAGTGGGTTCATGTCACTACTTGGATATGGCGCGGCCTGCCCCCTGGTCCTGACCTTGGACCTACCCTTCCTCTACCTGCTCGTATAGGGTCATGTTTCTCCTTCCTGCCCCAACAGGAAAGCCAGGCCGGTGCCGGGGGTCAGCCAGCCATGCAGACGTGCAAGCTGGTTAAAGGGCGAGCCCTGAGGACTGGCAGCGATCACTGCGGCCCCACCTACCGTCCGGTCCAGCACCGTGGGGATGAAGTCATAGCCAATGCCCTCCACCTCGTAAGCCGTCAGCTCCGTCCGGTTCAGCTCCTCGGGCTCAGCAAGGATGGAGCCTTCGGGATCCACCCCGATGATCTACAGCGGGAGACCGTTAGGGCTCGTGCCCAGCAAGTCTAATGTGGATGTTCCCGCCCTCACGGGGCCAAGACCACCCCGAATGGGCACCTGTTGATGATCTGCCCGTGGGATGCAGGTCTCGTTCCCGGCTCCGGGGCAAGACTGGAAACCCAGAAACCTGGGAGCCAGGCTGATTCCAACTCAGGGGCAGCTGGGGAAAGGGGTTCCGGGGCAGTCCCCCTGCACAGACCATCCAGGACACAGCCTGGCACAGGCCCTGGGGGGCAGTGGGGCCTGGAGAACAAGGCGCAGTGCTGGGCACTGACCTCCTCCTGGGCTCAGCACCAGCCGCCAGATATTTCTAGGAGCCCCACTCCAGGCCCCTCAACTCCAAGCCCCTCCCTCTCAGAGCCCCGGATGGGGCAGATGCAGGACCTGAGCCTAAAAGCTTAGATTCATAGTGACCCTTGGGGGCCAAACAAAAAGGACTCCCAACCCCGTCATCTGGTCGCTGGATTCCTCGCTCCCGGGCAGGGCCCGCACCCCCCGGCCGCCCTGGGGCACTCACTTTGCATCCGGGACACTTCTCCTTTAGCTTCCCTGGCGATGCCTGTGATGGTGCCACCTGTGCCCGCTGAAGCCACCAGCATGTCCAGCTTCCCTGATAGGGGAGAAGCCGTATCAGGAAGAACGTTCTAATAATAAGTGAAAACTTCCTTGACCGAGATGAAGGCAGATTATCAAAAAGGTCAAACTGTTCCGTTTCCACGGCTCTCATCACAGTGCTTTATCCTTAAGCAGTACCCATCACCGGTCACAGGGCCCCGAGCTTCATTTATGTCTCGGCCCCGGGACCTGTGTGGTGTAAGGCCCGCCAGGCGGTGCAGGAAGGACAGGTGTGGAGGCTGCCTGGGGGGGACGGGCACAGGGAGGCTCCTCATGATGCACTTTCTTATTTTTTTTTTTTTAAATATACTTTTATTGATTTCAGAGAGGAAGGGAGAGGGAGAGGGAGAGAAACATCAATGATGAGAAAATCATTGATTGACTGCTCCTGCACACCCCACACTGGGGATCGAGCCACAACCCAGGCATGTGCCCTTGACCCGGAATCGATCCAAGACCTCCTGGTTCATAGGGTGACACTCAACCACTGAGCCACACCGGCCAGGCATGATGCACTTTCTTATGCTGTTTGCTTTTGGACGATGACAAAAACGTAACTAAATTATGCAGGAAACAGAATAAACCACTCGGGCTTGGTTCAGAAATCATCTGGGCTCTCTCGCTGCTGAGCGCCAGCCCAGGCATCCTGCAGACAAGTCCACGCGGGCCCCATGCCGAGGCGGAGGGCTGTTTTTGCCAAATGAGAGAATTCGCACACATAAAACTTCGGTGAGCAAATGCCTGGATCTCCCTACCTGGCTCCTGGGCATGGACGAGGCTGCACTTAAGCCACTGCCAGCACTAGACTCCCAACAGGAGCCCAGGGTGCCAACCCCCTGGCAGAATCCCCTCATATCTCTTAGGGAAACAGCCCTTCAGAAGGCATCACAGCCCCACGGCCTTGGCACCAGTTACGTGGCAACGTTCCAGGGAGCCTCACGTCTGTATGGAGAGTAAGCTAATCATCGGCATTACCACCCAAGCTCGGAGACGGGAAAACCTGAACGTGGAATTCAAGGCCCAAGTCAGGGCTTGACGCCTAGTGCCATTCAGCAACGTGAAGTCCCAGCTGTGAGCCCAGCCCAGCCAAGGACATCCTCACTCCCTGCACTCAGGAGCTTCTGCAGCTGGGCAGACAAATATGCCTGCCTGGTACTGTGCAAGAGAGCACAACAGAAGCAGAAACCGCTCTAGAGAAATGCTCTGGATAGCACTTCACAGAGAGGGGACATTAGATCTGGGTTTTGAAGGATGAATAGGAGTTTACCAAAGAGTGGGTAAGTGACTTGTACACTCCCAGGCAACCAGGGAGAGCGGCAGTGAAGCGGGGAGAGGGGTTAGGATAGACGCACACACCGTCACACTGCTGCAGGATCTCCTCGGCCGTGCTGTCGTAGTGAGCAATGGGGTTGTTCATGTTTCGGTACTGCACGGAGAGAGCAAAGGGGCTGTGAGAGGATGTCAAAGACACTGAAATGGCAGCAGGCACAGGGCTGCAGGCAGTTTAGGAGCCTCAACAGACACAAAACATTAAACCCAGCTTTTCAGATGCGATTTCTGAATAACCCAGGAGTGAATAAGTGAGACAGAAGAGCGCCAGCCCAGGCATCCAGTAAAAAAGGTTTTCAGACCTTCAGAGGGCTTCTGGGATCCTCAGCAAAGGGCATGCCCACCCAACGCGATGAACTGAGGCGCTGGCCGCACGCTGGAGGTCCTCTCCAGCCGGGAGAAGCCCGAGACACGTGCCACTCACTGTCAGTCATCTCAGCCGCCCCCATTCCTGCTGCAAACGTGGCACCACCCCACCCCGACAGCCCCCAGGAGTGCCCCCTGGGTCCACACTCTGAATGCACATTCGCCCCAGGCCCCGAGCCTCACCTGGTCCAGGATGTGGGAATTGGGGATCTCGTTCTTCAGCCTCCACGCCACCCCCACATGAGACTCAGGGGAGTCGAACCTGGCGTTGGTGGGCGTCCTCACGATCTCCGCCCCCAGCGCCCGCAGGACGTCTACCTGCCGAGCAACATCGCGCCTTTACCCACCTGCCAGGCCTCCCGAGCTGGGGGAGGGGTCCCGGGAGGCAGGCCCGCCACCAACCTACCTTCTCCATGCTCATCTTCTCCGGCATCACGATGATGCAGCGGTAGCCCTTCACCGCGGCTGCCAGGGCCAGCCCGATCCCTGGCGAAGACATGGTGAGACCCTGCCCTGTGCACCTGCAGCCCACGGAGAGGGCACTACAGGACTCCCCAAAGCCCCACACTGCCCCCTCTGTCCTCAGGGCTGAGAGAGAATGCGGAGACGAAACAACAGGGAGTGTGCCCACAAGGAAGAAAAGCCAGGTGCAAACACAAGCACCAATTCCTCCAGCCTTTGCTGGGTGCCCACGGCTCGATGTGGGTGCGTGAGGGCCACAGCGGGCAGAGCAAACACTGTGGGCTGAGGGTGGGTACCCGTGGTCCTTGAAGGAAAGGGAGGGTGGCCTGAAGGCAGGCAGAGACCAGCAGGGCGGCCTCCCTGGTCACAAAGGGGTCAGGACCACTGTCCAGAGGATTGGAGTTGTAAGATCCAACGGAATCTGCCCCACTGGGCTTCAGACTGGCTGGGGACCAAGCACCCCTCCTTCTGTCTGGTTTCTCCCTTTGAACAGGGGTGTCCGTCCTATGCCTGTCCCACCGCTGCATTGGAATCCCATGACCCGTCGGGTTTCACAGGCTCACAGCTGGAGAGGACCCTGCCAGGAGGACTCTCCCCGACGCCTGGTGGAGATGGGACCTCGGACTGCAGAGATGATGCTGGAAGGGGCGGACTTGTTGGGGCCACTGGGATGATTTGCATGTGAGAAGGGCATGGATTTGGGGGCAGGTGGCAGCGCTATGGGCCGAATTGTATCCGCTGAAATTCCCATCCCCATCACCTCAGAAAACAACTGTGTTTGGAGATGGTCTTTGAAGAGGGGAGTAATAAGGTTAAATGAGGTCACGGGGTGGTTCCTAACCCATAGGACAGGCGTCCCCAGAAGAAGAGAGGAGGACACAGACACGTGGAGGGGGCGGCCGTGTGAGGACGCAGGGAGGAGACAGCGTCCACAGGCCGAGGAGAGGCCTCAGGAGGAGCCAGCCCTGCAAATCCCTGGGGCCGTCCGGGGCCGTCCCAGCGCTCACCTGTGTTCCCAGACGTCGGCTCGATGATGGTGTCTCCGGGCTTCAGGATGCCGGCGCGCTCGGCCTCCTCCACCATGCGCTGGCTGATGCGGTCCTTCACGCTCCCGCCCGCGTTGAAGAACTCACACTTGGCCACTGGGAGCCGGAGACGAACCGTGAGAACGGAAGGCCCTGGATCCCTCTCTGTCCCCTCCCCACTACCTGATCCACCTTGATGCAGGGCGAGGCCTGGTCTTCGCTGGTTCTATACATCGGCCCCTCTCCCCTCCTACCCACCACCCCAGCTGGCAGTGCCAGGCAGAGGACCATGTGGCAACTCCAAGGGAATGAGACAGAGGCGCCTGCAGGAGCCCCACTGGGCGGAGGGGTCAGACCCCCTCCAGCAGTCCCAACAGGAGCTTGCTGGGCAGACAGCGGTCAGCTCACTTGAGCCCCATGGGCCCGTAAGGCCCAGCCACACCCAGCGGCCCCTGCCAGACAACTTGATGCCCCGAAGCCACTGCGCCCGGATCACACCCCAGACCAGGCCCCCAAACCCTCCACACCCGCCTCCCACCGCCCAGGCGCTCCTACCCCTGCCACGCTCCCAGCCCAGCAATCACGCTGCCCTTTCCTGGGCCGAGGCCTCTGCTCTGCTCTTTCCTTAGGACGACTCCCGCCCACCTCCTAAGAGTTTGTAGTGTTTGCAGGAGGAAGGTGCTGCCCCAAAAGAGATCTGAAGACTCTGAAGACCTGGGCCAGCCTACGACACCCACAGCCCCAGCCCCCCAGCCCCTGCGGGGCGAGCGCAGGAGGGGGAAGCAGGTACTCACGCAGCTCACACTTCAGGCCAAAGTTCTTCCCGATCTTATTGATTCTCACCATGGGGGTATCTCCAATTTTCTTCAGGATATTTGGCAAGATTTTGGGCGACTTTGCCCTAAAACAGAAGAGCCCATGATGATTCAGAAAAACAAAAGGATACCAGCCGTGGCAGGACAGCACATTCTTTTAAATAAATCGAAGAACTGCCCTGGCCGGTGGCTCAACTGGTTGGAGTGTCGTCTCATATATCAAAAGGTTGCCGATTGGGCCAGGCCGGTGGGGTGTGGCGCAGTGGCTGACCATCAGACTATGAGCCAGGAGGTCATGGTTCGATTCCCAGTCAGGGCACATGCCTGGGTTGTGGGCTCGACCCCCAGTGCAAGGGGCAGCCGATCAATGATTCTCTCTCACTGATGTTTCTATCTCTCTCTCTCCCTCTCCCTTCCTCTCTGAAAGAAATATACATATTTTTTAAAAAGGTTGTGGGTTCAATCCCCAGGGGCCCTGAGACAGGTAAAACATGCTGCCTTCCACCCGGGGATCAAACACGCAGCCGCGCAGACACGCTGGCATCCAGCTGCTCCCTCCACTGTGGAAGGGGCTGAAGGGACAGCCAGGCCAGAGGCAGGTGTCAGGGTGAGGGGAGAGTCAGGCTGGGGCCAAGGGCTCCTGACCCCACTTTGGGGCCACGCCGGGGTTGGTTCATTAACTAGTTAAAGCCAAGGCCGGACAGAGGTAAACACCTGCACCGTCACGTGTGGTGGCGAAGGTCACACCAGCCCAGCAGGCGTTGTGGCGGCCAGAGCGGGCTGAGGACCACCCACCGCAGGGCAGGGGGTGAGCAGGCAGAGAACCCGGGTTCCTGCCTCCGTCACCTGAGAATCTTGCCTGCGGTCATCAGGGCAGGCCCCGGGGGAGAGCGTTTACCGCAGGTGGCCCTGGGGTCACCTCCTCTCAATGGCTTTCACTGTGACAGCCCCAGAGGCCTCCAGGACAACCCCACGGGTGCTTAGAATAACCCCACACTCCTTACCAGAGCCAGGGACCTGCCTGCCCCACCCCCTGAGGCCCCTCCACTCACTTGGCTGCTTCCACCCTCGTTGTAAGCCCACCCACCTCGGAACCGCCTGGAACCCCCTTTCCCAGATACCCACACTTCCAGCACCTTCTGCCTATGCAGGTACCAGCTCCAAGGCCTTCCCCTAGCCAGGAACCCTAAGGGCCGTTTCCTCTGGGGGACCTTGGTCTGGTGTCCCCCCCTAGCAGGTAAGCTCCTGCCTGACCTGGACCCGAGCCCAGGTCCCTTATACCCGGGTACCTGACCTAGGACAGGGGCGTAGGGCTCAGCTTCCAGATGGGATTAGCCCTTCAGGGCTTTGCAGGACGGGTGACTAGGCCAGGGTGGGAGGGGCAGGTGTCAAGCTGTCTCACAACCTGGAGAGAAGAGTGTCCTTTCCGCCCCAGGATCCCGGGTGAGGTCACCCACCCTCGGAAACCCGGTCTCTTCCCTGCCCGCCCCCAGCAGCCACACCCCAGCTGTCACTCACTGCTTCGTTTGTTTTGGCACCGAGGGCTCATCCTGTTTGGCCAGGGGCCCATTTGGCCTCCTAAGCACCCAGCATTGAGGTCTGTTTAGTGCTTGAGCTTCTGGGTTTGTAAATTTCCATTCCTATTTATTGGCCCCACAGAGGAGCACACCCCTTTCTCCACCCCCAGTTCTGATCTTAAAATCAATAACCGTGAATGTTGGTATAGCGGGTTATACGGAATAAGAATCAAATATCTAAAGCCCAGCTGGCAGGGCTCAGTGACTGGGTGTCGACCTATGAACCAGGAGGTCACAGTTCGATGGCCGGGTTGTGGGCTCAATCCCCAGTGTGGGGTGTGCAGGAGGCAGCCGATCCATGATTCTCTCTCATCATTGATGTTCCTCTCTCTCTCTTTCCCTCTTCTCTGAAATCAATAAAAATATATTTTAAAAAAAGAAGAATCAAACATCTAAAAAACATAGTCTTTGACTCTGAAAGATTATACTATGGAAATAAAGATATCCCTAAAACTTAGTGAGCTCAATTTAAGTTTCCCAATGGGTCGGGGGGTTTGTCTTTTTTCCCCTTGTCCGGATAGATCAGGGCACCTAGAACAGGGCACAACATACAGTAGGTGCTTAATAAAGATGGACTGACTACACGAATGTATATGGTTTCTATTGCAGTTGTTTGGAACGAAATAACGGCTACATCTAAATCCCGTTGGAGGGCTTAAAAAATTGTGGTTTATTCATCCAACAGTCTCTGTCCAACCTCAAAAAGAGGTCACTATCGAAAAAAACAGTCATGGCCAGGAGGAATGTGTACGGCTTAGAGTTAAGAGAGGTGCCGGTGTGAACCTAACTGCTGAAGACATGCACACTCGCCTCAAACCCAAGTGTGCGTTAGAAGCCTCACCGCTCCCCGTCACTCAGAGCCTGTGACGTAGGCACTTCCATCTATGTGTTCAGCATCTACTCTTGTTGGGCTCTGAGCCTTGGTGGACTGATCTACACAGCACCCCCACCCAGCAGCTCACCACCCGTCACAGTGATTGCAAGGGGGATGGGTCACACCCCAGGTGCACATGGCTCCTCCCCTCCGGGTGGGAACAGGGACTTACAAGGCCGTGTGGTGATGTGGAGAGTCAGTGATGGGCCTGCCCAGCTTCCAGGAGCACCTGCTCGGGGCATCAGGCGGATCACAGGTGATCCTGGTGTCTTGTCTCCTGCGGCTTCTGCTCCAGGCTCCTTTTGCTGAGTGCGTC